ATTTGGGTTCCTTAGGAAGCTCCTGGATTGCAGGCGATCTTCATTCCTCCTAGTGAGTGTAGGGTTTTTGTGTTTTTTTTTTTTTTGCTTTTTTGTCCAGTCCTCCCGACTGTATCTGAATACCTATGTCTCCTCAATGCATGAAATAGAAAATTTGGATTTTTCTGGGTTTTTTTTTTTGCAGTTGATTGAGGGACACAGGTCCCACCTCCTATGGTGGGGTGTTTTTTGTTCATGCCATTGGTACTGCTTTATCACAAAAGTGAGTGATGCTTGGTGGATGAGTGGTAATACAGGGGGCTGGCTAGTGTCTAATCCTTCTGTAGTTAGTAGTATTAGAATGTATCTGAATTGTCCCTCAATGAACTCCAAGAAATGGATTTTATGGTAAGTATAAAAATATATATGTGTGTGTGTGTGTGTGTGTTGTGTGTGTGTGTGTGTGTGTATATATATGTGTATATATATATATATATATATATATATATATATATATATATATATATATATATATACACACACAGTGGGGATTGAAAGTTTGGGCACCCCAGCTAAAAATTTGTATTAATGTGCATAAAGAAGCCAAGGAAAGATGTAAAAATCTCCAAAAGGCATCAGATTACAGATTAGACATTCGTATAATATGTCAACAAAAATTAGATTTTATTTCCATCATTTACACTTTCAAAATAACAGAAAACAAAAAAATGGCGTCTGCAAAAGTTTGGGCACCCTGCAGAATTAATATCTTGTACTGCCCCCTTTGGCAAGTATCACAGCTTGTAAACGCTTTTTGTAGCCAGCCAAGTGTCTTTCAATTTTTGTTTGAGGTATCTTTGTCCATTCTTCCTTACAAAAGTCTTCCAGTTCTTTGAGATTTCTGGGCTGTCTGTCACGCACTGCTCTTTTAAGGTCTGTCCATAGATTTTTCAATTATGTTGAGGTCAGGAGATTGTGAAGGCCATGGCAAAACCTTCAGTTTACGCCTCTTGATGTAATCCCCCGTGGATTTCGAGGTGTGTTTTGGATCATTATCCATTTGTAGAAGCCATCCTCTCTTTAACTTCAGATTTTTCACAGATGGCATCAAGTTACCATCCAAAATTTGCTGAAATTTTATTTAATCCATTTTTCCTTCTATTCGTGAGATGTTCCCTGTGCCACTGGCTGCAACACAACCCCAAAGCATGATTGATCCAACCCCATGCTTAACAGTTGGACAGAGGTTCTTTTCATTAAATTCTGTGCCCCTTCTTCTCCAAACGTACCTTTGCTCATTCCGGCCAAAAAGTTCAATTTTAACCTCAATGGTCCACAGAACTTGTTTCCAAAATGCATCAGGCTTGTCTATATGTTCATTTGCAAAGTTCAAACGAAGATTTTTGTGGTGAGGACGTAGAAGAGGTTTTCTTCTGATGACTCTTCCATGAAGACCATATTTGTACAAGTATCTCTTTATAGTGGAATAGTGTACCACAACTCCAGTGTCTGCCAGATCTTTCTGGAGGGATCGTGCAGTCAAACGTGGGTTTTGAATTGTTTTTTCTCACAATCCTGCGAGCTGTGCTGTCTGATATTTTTCTTGGTCTTCCAGATCTTGCTTTAACTTCCACTGTTCCTGATGACTGCCATTTCTTAATTACATTCCGAACAGAGGATATTGACATCTGTAAACGCTTTGCTATCCTCTTATAGCCTTCTCCAGCTTTGTGAGCGTCAACTATTTTCAGTTTCAGTTTTCTAGACAACTGCTTAGAAGAACCCATGGTGCTGATTGTTGGGGCAAGGTCAGATGAGTCTGGGCATTTAAAACCTTTGAGATTGACATCACCTGGTCTTCCCAGACGATGATTGAGAACAATCCATGACACTGGCAGGTCTCAGCTTTGCAAAGGGGGCAGTGCATGCTATAAATTCTGCAGGGTGCCCAAACTTTTGCAGACGCCATTTTTTTTGTTTTCTGTTATTTTGAAAGCGTAAATGATGGAAATAAAATCTAACTTTTGTTGACATATTATAAGAATGTCTAATCTGTAATTTGATGCCTTTTGGAGATTTTTCCATCTTTCCTTGGCTTCTTTATGCACATTAATACAAATTTTTAGCTGGGGTGCCCAAACTTTTGATCCCCACTGTATATATACGCTGCCCACTTTATTAGGTACACCTATTCAATTGCTTGGCAACACAAATTGCTAATAAGCCAATCACATGGTAGCAACTCAATGCCTTTAGGCATCTAGACGTGGTGAGCACTACTTGCTGATCAAACTGCGGATCAGAATGGGGAAGAAAGGGTATTTAATTGACCTTGATTGTGGCATGGTTGTTGGTGCCAGACGGGCTGATCTGAGTATTTCAAAAACTGCTGATCTACTTGGATTTGCGCACACAACCATCTTTAGGTTTTACAGAGAATGGTCCAAAAAATAAAAAATAATCCAGTGAGCGGCAGTTGTGTGGGCGAAAATGCCTTGGTGATGTCAGAGGAGATTGGGCAGACTGGTTCGAGATGATTAGGCAACAGTACCTCAAATAACCACTCGTTACAACCAAGGTATGCAGAATACCATCTCTGAACGCACAGCACGTCAAACCTTGAAGTAGATGGTCTACAGCAGCAGAAGTCCATATTTGGTGCCACTCCTGTCAGCTAACAATAGGAAACTGAGGCTACAATTCGCACAGGCTCACCAAAATTGAACAATAGAAGAATGGAAAAACGTTGATGAGTCTCGATTTCAGCTGTGACATTCAGATGGTAAGATCTGAATATGGCGTAAACATGAAAGCATGGATCCATCCTGCCTTGTATCAATGATTCAGGCTGGTGGTGGTGTAATTGTGTGGGGGATATTTTCTTGGCACACTTTCGACCTCGTAGTACCAATTGAACATTGTTTTAAATGACACAGCCTACCTGAGTATTGTTGCTGACCATGTCCATCCCTTTATGACTATAGTGTATTCATCTCCTGATGGCTACATCCAGCAGGGTAATGCATCATGTTACAAAGCTCAAATCATCTCAAACTGGTTTCTTGACCATGACAGGTAGTTCACTGAACTCCAATGGCCTCCACAGTCAGCAGATCTCAATCCAATAGAACAACTTTGGGATGTGGTGGAACAGGAGATGTGCAGCCGAGAAATCTGCAGCAACTGCATGATGCTATCATGTCAATATGGACCAAAATCTCTGATGAATGTTTCCAACACCTTGTTGAATCCTATGCCACAAAGAATTAAGGCAGTTCTGAAGGCAAAACGGGGTCCAACCTGATTCTAGTATGGTGTACCTAATAATAAAGTGGCTAGTGGGGTGTATATATAATGATCAGCCATAACCACTGACAGGTTAAGTGAAAACATTTGTGTCATTATAATGGCATCTGAAAGTCTGTGGGATATATTTAGGCAGCAGGTAAATGGGTTACGAAGTTGGTATGTTGAAAGCAGAAAAAACGGGTACTGCAGTTTTTTGTGTATTTGGCTATGTAGCTGTAGACCAGTCAAGGTGTCCATGTTGACCTGTGTCCACAACTAAAAGCTCCTAAAGTGAGCATCAGAACTGGACCACAGAGCAATGGAAGAATGTGGCCTGGTCTGATGAATCTCGTTTTCTTTTACCACCATGTGGATGGCCGGGTGCGTGTGCATAGTTCATCTGGGGAAGAGATGGCACCAAAATGCAGTATGGGAAGAAGGCAAGTGTGATGCTTTGGGCAATGTTCTAATGGAAAACCTTGGGCTTTCCATTCATATGGATGTTACTTGACACGTACCACTAAAATGTTGCTGAATAAGTACACCCCTCCTGTGAAAGTGACCTCTTTCAGTAGGATAATGAACTGAATAGTTCAAAGAAACACCACAGTGAGTTTGAGGTGTTGACTTGGCCACCAAATTCTCCAGATCTCCATCCATCTTGATCTGTGGGATGTGCTAGAATAGCAATAAGTCCAATCCATGGAGGCTCCACTTCCCAACTTAAAGGATATGCTACTGACCATTTTGTGCCAGATACTACAGCATGCTTTCAGATGTCTAGTGGTGTCCATGCCTCAATGGGTCAAGGCTGTTTTGGTGGGAGAAGGCGGACCTACTCAATATTAGGTGATTGGCCATAAGATTAGGGGTGATAGGTGTGTGTGTATGTATATGGATAGATGGCTATATTATATTAAAACATTTTTTTTCAACTTTTTAAAATTATTTTTATGCTAAGTGTTTATCCATCCAAAACATTTTCCCTAGTTTTGAACTATGAGGGTTAAAACCCTTGTCAGTTTTTCTGCGATGTTAAAGAGGCTTCCTTTCCTTGTTTGCCAATCAGAAACTAAAGGATATTTTTTTTTTACAGGAATGCCAGATCTCGCTTAGATTTTGATGTGTGCCTGTTACGGATTTTCCATCACTTTCTGATCTAGTGAAACCACTGTCACTGGGATGGAAAGTAGGCTAGATTCTAATCATTCCACACTTTTATCCAACAATGTAAAGTTTTGGCCGTACATGCACTAATATTTGTGTATTTTGCACTGCTTTGTACCAGAAACTTAATGTCATTTGATATGGTGATAGATGGGGCAAATCACAGTATAAAATTGGCACTTTATAATAACTATTTAATTTATCACAGGTAATTGACTCTGCTTTTGCCCTTTTTAATAATTCTTTTTTTTTTTCAATCACATGCAATTATTGCGTTAATGGACTAATTGTTGCAATGTTCTAAGAGTTCTGGATAAGATGCATATAGCTTTCTCCTTTGCTAATTGTAGAACTAAATAGCCCAACATTATCCAGAATTTCTCTTCTGCCTGTCCCATAGTAATAATTTTTTTTTTTATTTTCAAATGGATATTTACCAAGACAGCTTTGATATTCCCAATACATATCTCAGTGTAATCTTTTGAATATGACTTAGATGTGTGTGTTAGTTTTTGAAATGTAATTATAATTGTTCTTAATGGCATTTTAATACATTTTACTTTCAGGTCGAGAGCAAGATTTCTGTATGATGTGTGTTATGCAGTCTCACATCGTTCAGGCTTTGTCTAACACGGGCAATGTCATTAAGCCAACATGTGTTATTAATGACTTAAGACGTAAGTACATAATTATACCTTCCTCTGTTCTCCATAAAACACTGTATACTGCAATTTGGATGCCTTGCGTTACAAGCTGTGTTTCACTATTGTTGATACGGTGGTCGGAATCTGTTGGAAGATCTGGAATAGCAATGTCAAAGCAAGAATTTGTTTAGATAATGTTTTATTCAGAATTGTATATTCTCCTGTTCTTTGTGCTTGTAATTTGCAGGTATTGCAAAGCATTTCCGTTTGGGGAGTCAAGAAGACGCTCATGAATTTCTTCGTTATACTGTGGATGAAATGCAAAAATCTTGTCTCAATGGTTATATCAGGTAAGCTAACCATAGTAGGGCTACAGCTATATATGCATAATAAAGTGACATAGCCTGGTAATGAGATGATAAAAGCTCATATTTTTAATGTGTGTTTCACTGAAGATTTTTTTTTTTTCTCTAAATCAATTGAATGTGACTGGCCTTGTTTATGACAATATAAGCGGAAATAGCTTGACAATTTGCCTCATGGCCGTTTCATATTTCCGTTTCAGCAGCATGAGGTGAATTCATATATTCTTTAGATCCTGTCATACATTACGCCAACTCGTTCTAGTTAACGTTGGAAAAAAATGATCAGGAGGATTGTAGCTTATTTTCTTAAATATTGAGTGACACAGGAATTAGTGTCAGGTTATACTGCCTTCTATAGGAGAGTCTAGGACACTGGCAAACAGAAAAATTGTAAGACCACTCCTATATTCAGCATTCATCATTTGTTTATAGTGTCTTAGGAGGTTGGACACCTTTGCAGTTCCACTAAAGAAAAGTTTGATCAATTTTTTTGCATTGTGGTGCATGTCAGGCCATTGTGGTGCATGTCAGTAACTGTGCATCACTTTCCAGGCCCAGAGGCTGTTTGTGCTCAGCTACTAAGGGATTTTGCCTACTGAGGTTCTACGTGCGCTGCAGCACCACTCCCTGCAGTGTGAGTCTGTGACCCTCGTGGGCCCTTTAAATCAAGCTGGACCAGGACCCTTTGTCACCATCTCACTGGGATTCACGGTCTCAATAGTATCTCTGATGAGACTGTCTTTTGAGGCACCTCAGTCTCCTGCTATTGACTTAGGAGTTATTTCAAACCTTTATTGAAGCAGTTTGTATTACCCTGTATTTGGAGGATCAGCCTGCTGTCCTAGGACTTGTCTTTAAGAGCTTTTACCATTGCACTGACCTTTTTTGCTATTTAATTCAATTCTCTTTGTAGACTGGAAACACCCTAAAAGGTCCCCCCACCTGAAAGTTTCCATTTTAAAATTGCTGGTCTGTTCCCACCATGGATACTCCTGTGACCCACCCTAACAGGAGGACAACTGGGCTGGTTGATGTGCTTACCTTTCTGGATTTCACTGATGGATAGCTGCTGTCTCTCCTCAAAGTGGTTCTAAAGGCTGAAGGTTTTTTACCTTCATGCATTCTATGCATGAAGGTAAAAAACCTGTGTGCAGCAGTCCCCCACCAATTCTTACCTGAGCCCCATCTTGATCCAGTGATGTTGCCATTGGTTCCTGCTGCTGTAATTCACAGCCAGTGAGCCAAACGGGAGGGGGCGGGGGGCCAATCTACGGCTCTGTGTGTGAATGGACACGCAGAGCCACAGCTCGGGAGCACGCCTGCTTGGGTGCCTCCAGAGCAAGCCGCCTGCTCTAGGGGCACTCAGCAGGAAGGAGGGGCCGGGGGGGGACCAGAAAAGAGGAGGATCAGGGCTGCTCTGCGCAAAACCACTGCACATATCAGGCAAGTATGACATGTTTGTTTAAAAAAAAACTTTAATATCACTTTAATCCCAGTTTAAAATTACTGGTCTGACCCCTCTGTCCCATTTTTGTGGTAAGTTGTCAGAAAGGAGATTCCCCCAATAATTCCTCCTCTGCTGGGGTAGTGCCCCGTTTCATAGAGCAGTTGGAAGAAATGTCTGAATCCTCATATTTTAAGCATTCTGGCTTGTTAAAAGCATCTAAATTTAGGACTGTTGGCATTTGCACCAGTCTGGATTTGAAATGTCCTGGTCCTCCTGGATACAATTTCACTGCAAAGGGGTACAAAATAGAATTTTTATCTCTGCCCTTCCTCGCTTTCTACCCTCCAATCTGCCAGCATCAGCTTATGATTTACTAGCTGCCTTGCACCAGCTTCAGGTTATGAGGGTTTTTATTCACACCTTTTCAGTCCCCAAGCTAAATGGAGGGGTCCATGTTGGACCTTAAACCTCTAAATTGATTTCTTTGGGTACTAAAATTCCATACAAGATCAGCAGGATCTGTCATTGCTTTTCTCAAACAAGGAGAATTTCTGGCATCAGTGCAAATGTAAGATGTTTGTCTACACATACCCATCTTCCCCTCCCATCAATGCAAAGACCTCCTTTTTTACCCAAGGTGGTCTCTCCATTTCACTTCAATGGGGAAATTGTCCCCCCTTCCTCTGTCCTGCTCAAAAACATGCAGAGGAAATTTATCTGCCTGGATTTGGTCAATGTCTACTTGACATCCACGGCTTCTGTTTGCAAAATAGAGTTCCTTTTCTTCTTACCTGCAGGCCTTCATGGAGGACATCCTGTGTTGTGGATCGGACAATTTATTTCCAGGGCCTATGCCCTTAAAATGGGTTCTGTCCTTTCTTATCAGAGCTAATGTCACCTGTTCTGTTGGTGTATCTTGGGCTTTCCAGCATCAAGAATCTCTATTTCGGATTTGCAAGGCCGTTATCTGGTCCTCTATTTATGTGATGTGTGCAGCTGGAAATATTATAACCACACATTACTCCATGAGTAGACTTCGCTTGCTTGAAAGGGAAGGGGAAGTGTGCACATTTTGGTAGCAATGCTGCAGAGACTCGGAGCCTGCAGATCGTTGCTGTCAAGGAGGTGTTCCTACCCGCATGGAAGAAGAAAAAAAAAAAAAAAAAAAATATATATATATATATACATACACACATACATATATATATATATATATATACACATATACATATACACACACATATATATATACATATACACATATATATATACATATACACATACACACATATATATATATATATACACACATATACATTTTATTTATTTTTTTAAATAGTAAATACGGCCAAAATTGTAGTATTTCAAATATATGTCAATATATTTGGGGAGAATATTTAAAAAATATATTTAAAATATATTTTTCTTCCATGTGGGTAGTGCCTGGCAAGAATAGGTAATTTCTATAAAAGGAAGGATTATCTGAGAAATGAGGTTCAGGAAGAGATTGCAAAAGTATTGTTTTGGGGTTTGCAATCTATTTACAGATTGCTGGTACTGTAATACCAATAGCAAGTTGTAAAATTCAGTGATTCACTGTTATAGTAGAAGATCCAAGACCCTACAAGGATACTTTAAAGATGCATTTATGAATGTTTCCACACTACTTTGCTAGGCGATTCACACATTTCTCTAATTGCATTCATTTGTGAAAATGTGTGAATCCTGAGTTAAATTTGTATAACTTTTGTGTGACATTAAATAAACCCCTTATTCAAAGTTCTTTTGACATAATGTTATAATGATTATATGAGTTTGCTGGCTTTTTGTATTGACGAAAGTTCTTAAAGTGGAACTAAACACTTTCATTAAAAACAAAAAACTTTAAAAATGGCTCCTGGATCACTATGTGATGTACTAGTAGGCATTGCATATTTTGGCAGACTTTCCTTCCAAACAATCTCTTCCAACATCACCCAGTGGGCTGAATGAAAAAACTGGACCAGTTTCCCTCTTCTACACATTGGAGTTGGATGGGTAAATCTTCCCTGCAGCGCTATTGTATTCTGGCACCAGGGAAACTCCTCCCTCAGCTATTAGAATACACAAATCCGTGCTGCAGCCTTTTGCCTGCAGCAGTGATCGATTGGCTTTTATCTGGCAGGGCAGTTGAACAGAAGTTAATCAGTAGATTGACTTTTTTGTTCAGCCATAGTGGCCACACATGGATCAAAATTCAGTCTGTCCTTACTGAACCAGCTGGATTTCGATCCATGTATGGCCAGCTGTAGTCTTTGGCATGGTGATAATACAATTTTTCTTTCTTTTTTTTTCCCCAGCTATGGCAGAAGTACACAAGCAACTACTTTTATACATCAAGTATTTGGTGGTTGTCTGCGATCTCGAGGTAAGAAATGATATGTGTTTTGTGAGTTATGTTTTTTCAATCTCGTAAGACCCAATATATAATTTGCAGAATTTGTGGAGCCAGCCAACATCGCTGTCTTATAAATAGAAGTTAGTATTGAAAGCCCAGTCTACTTTTTTCTCCAAGAATAATCCACTAGGGATCAGCTGTCCTCTGTTGCAGTTGATCAACGCTTTAAAAAAAAATTAAAATAAAAATGTTCTTGTGTGTCGATCCTTTTGTATGTCACTAGCCTGAAGTGAACTTGCTATCCCTATCTTGTCTCTTTTGTGATCATTGTATGATCTGGTTTGGTGGTCACCTGCAAACTAAGGCCGCTTTTACATTATTTAAATGCATTGTAGAGCAGTCTGTTGATCTAGCCTGTCATTCTTTCTCCCTTTTCCGGAGAGGGTTGAATAACAGTTTAAACTGGACTTTCTTTTTCTCAGAGACCGGATTTTCACTGTAGTGGGCACACCCCAACATATACAATTTAAGTGAACCAGTTCATTTAAGTCATTTAGCTTTACCTCTGTAAAATTTTAGTATTAAAGTAAAACAAAACCCACTAATTTAATGGTTTCCCAAGGTAGCTATGTTCAAAGCAAGACCTTCAATCCCTTAAATGACTGATGTCATAGCTGATCACATGTGCAGCACCATGGAACCGGAGATCTAGAGACTAAAAAAATGAATGAAGTACGCAACAGACGTTTACAGTATTTGTGATTAATATTGCAAAGTTTAACGATTCTCATTTTACACTCTTTTTCAGTAAAATGTCTAAAATGCAAATCTGTATCTGACACATATGAAGATTGCCTTGACATTGCACTGGAGATAAAGGTAGCAGTTATTGAGCACTGGTTACAGTATTGACTTTTTAACTATATTAGTTGTCATGTTATCTTTCAGTATTATGCATTAAAGCCAAATTCCAGATGTTGTGTTTTTTTTTTTTCTTTAGGGTATGAATAGTATGGAGAAGGTTTTTCTGATGTCTGTGGTGCCCATTGGAGAGAATTCCCCTCACTTCCTGCCCAAGACGCCTCTCATGAGGATGTGAGCGGAAGTCTCACCAAAGTGAACTCAGGCAGTGATAAATACCTTAGAAAATGGTAACACCTAAACAAATTTGGATGATCCTCTGTGCACTAATCACTCGTAATTATAAAACAATAAAATGTTATCCCCTGGCTGCTGCTAACACTGATAAAGTGCAGCACAACCATAATCCTGTGACTCAACTGATCATCATGTGTATGAATATACCACCACCAGATACTTCAACATATGTTCTTATATACATGTATGTAAATGGGTGTTCCATCTAACAAAACTCCCTTAAAAGTAACCTTCTTACATGTGACATGCAAAATCCACTTTTCTTTAAAGTCCAAATAACCACAACACAATTAAATAATAAAGTTCTTTAAAAAACACACAACTGTACTATGGTGAATAAATCTTCGTGTGATTGTCATTACTCTTATGCAGTGATATCCATTTGAGGTCCACCGCCTTTCACTCAGTATGCTCACCTGAATAAATTGACCTATGGAATAAATAGGTCACTGTGCACTTGAGGGGTCTCCGTCATCTCATTTGGATATTTACAGATTTATTATCAAACCTCCCCTTCTCTCCAGATCTTATTAGGCACAGCAGTAGGAACCAACACACCTCCAGTAAGCTCCTCAGCTCAAAGAAATTAAAAAGCCATCATAATGCTTTACCTCTTTTAAAACTGCACTTTATTAAAATAATAAAAAAAAGTTGTACTCGCAAAGAGTGCTATATTCCCAGTGCACAACAGTATTTTTGCTTTAACCGCTTGCCGCCCAGCCACCGCATATAAACGGCGGCAGGGCGGCGCTCGTAGGCAAAAGCATGTTTTTAAAACGGCTGCCTTCAAAACAGGTAGGGGCGGCGCGCGCCCGCCCGCCCTACCTGTCCCGCGGGTGTCAGCAGCGGGTCTCCGCCGGTTTTTACCGGCCGTTTTCCCGCGATGAGCGGTGATCACTGACAAAGAGCAGGGCTGCATTGTTTACACACAGCCTGCTCTGTGACAGTTCGCCGACAAGCTGAAGAGGGAGAGAAGAGTTTCTCTCCCTCGATCAGCCCCCCCCCCCCCGTCCAGTACACACCCCTGCCCCCCTAGTAAAACACTCCCCTTACACAGCAAATTCTAAAAATGTTAACCCCTTCCTCCCCAGTGACATTAGTACAGTTTCAGTGTTTTTTTTTTTCACTGATCACTGTATTGGTGTCACTGGGGATGTCAGTGACCCCAAGTCAGTTCCCTCCCCCCCCCCCCCCCCCCGTGTCAAAATGTCCGCCGTAGTCCCGCCATAAGTCGCTGGTCGCTGTCATATGTCGCTGATTGCCGCCATAAGTCGCTGATCGGCGCCATTATTAGTATAAAATAAAATTCCCAGTATCTTTCCCGCCATTTGTAAACACTATAAACTTTCACGTAAACCAATTAATTTACACATATTGGGTTTTTTTTTAGCAAAGGCAGAAATTTATGACTAAATTTGATTTTTGCATTTTTTTTTTTACTGGACATGTTTTATAGCAAAAAGTCCAAAATATTGTTTTTTTTTCCTCAAAATTGTCAGCCTTTTTTTTTTTATAGCACAAAAAATAAAAACCGCACAGGCGATCAAAAATACTACTGAAAGAAAGCTCAATTTGTGGGGGAAAAAAAGGATGTAAATTTCATTTATGTACCGTATTGCATGACCGCGCAATTGTCCGTTAAACTAGCGCAGCGCTGTATAGCAGAAAAATGGCATAAATTGCAGTATTTATACCATAGATTGTAGACGCTATAACTTCACACAAAGCAATCAATATACACTTATTGGGATTTTTTTTTACCAATAACATGTAGCAGAATACATTTTGGCCTAAATTTATAACCAACTTTGAGTTTACTATATATTTTTTATAGCTGAAAGTAAAAAATATTGTTTTTCTTCAAAATTTTTGGCCTTTTTTTGTTTATAGCGTGAAAAATAAAAAGCGCACAGGTGATCAAATTACACCGAAAGAAAGCTCTATTTGTGTGAAAAAAAGGACGTAAATTTCGTTTGGGTGCAGCATTTGCATGACCGCGCAATTATCAGTTGAATTAGTGCAGCGCCGAGTAGCAAAAAGAGGCCTGGTCATTAAGGGGGGTAAATCCTCAGGAGCTCAAGTGGTTAAAATGTTAGTGCATTGTCCCCTTAAGGCCTGGGAATCGCTATCACCTCAATAGAATCCTCAGTCTGGTCACCTCCAGGTTTGTATGATGACATTAAGTTCTGCCCTGACATGTTTCCTCTCTAGACTTCATGACTTTCTCAAGGGTGAATTGGTAATATACAGTATGTACCATTTTTAATGAAACCGTGAGTGAGAAGGCAAATCATTTATTTTATTTCTCATGCAATTCATATTCAACTGTAGGTCATAACAGAATGGCATCTTAAAACAAAACCTGGGAAACAAATTAAATGACCCCTGTTCAAAAGTCTGAATATCCTTTTAGTTCTCTTTCTTTTGACAAAAAAAAAAAATACGTAGTATAAATTCCAGAACCACATGTCAAACATTCATAAACAACCTTTTAACAAAAGTGCACAGTCACAAATTTGTCAGTATTAATACAGTAAGACATTTCACTCCTGTAACTCAGCACCTCCACCATCAGCAGAAGAAAAGTCCACCCACAATACAGAAATAAGCCCATAATTTTCTAATTTCTACATAAAGACCTCACAATATTAGCGGCATAGGTTACAGAGTGACATTGTTACTGTAGCTACCCTTCATTCTTAATGTGTATTGCCCTCTTTTGTAATAGTTATCCATGAGGCCCCGAATTCTCGCAGCTGGTATAGCTGCCCATTTGTCTTAGCAAAATACCTCCCAGTTCATGCAAAATCTTTAGTCATTTTGCACGAACTGCACGTTTGAGATCTCCCCAGAGTGGCTCAATGATATTAAGGTCAGGAGCCACTCCAGAACCTTCACCTTTTTTCTGCTTTAACTGTTGGATGGTCGTGCTGGAAAGTCAGAGTGCCCTATGTGCAGCTTTCGTGCAGAAGAATGCAAGTCATATGCCAGTGTTTTCTGATACTATGAAGCATTCATCTTGCCATCAATTTTCACAAGATACACATATCAGTGAGCTAACGTGCTTCACAGCTGAGATGGTATTCTTGTAGCTATAGGCCATGTTGACCCCTCTCCAAACATAGTGCTTATGGTTGTGACCATAAAGTTCTATTTTGGTCTTGTCACTCCAGATTACAGTGTGCCAGAAGCTGTGAGGTGTTGTCGGGCATATTGTAACCGGGCCTTTTTTTTTTGTAGCGTGAGCTCAGTAAAGGCTTCTTTCTAGCAACTCGACCATGTGGCTCATTTTTGTTCAAGTATCGTATTTTGCTCCTTGAAACGGCCACATCATCTTTTTCGAGAGCAGCCTGTATGTCTTCTGTTACCTGTGGGTTTGTATCCCGAATAATTTTTATGGCAGTTGTGGCTGCAGTCTCTTGGTCTACCTGATCTTGGCTTGGTATAAAGAGATGAATTTTCCACTTTTTGAAAGTGCTACTAAACTCACAACAGTAAAATTAGTCTGCCTATGCAGTAAAGCATGCTTATTATACGGACTGTGGAACCTAAGGGGTTAATTCTTTGCATTGTGTAAAAAAGATGTTTGATCCTGTCTACTCTGATCCTCCCCTTCTACTGTGCCTAATCCATCTGCTGATAGAACAGAACCTTGGGGGCAAGCTGCACATGCTTAGTTTAGTGTGTGTGGCTAGAGAGGTTTTTTTTTTTTTATTCTTGGAAGCGTGCATATGATTAGCACAGGGCCAATCGGCGATGTCCAGACAGAGGGTCAGGGGTTATACAGCCTCATAGGACAGTCGGGAGAAGAGAAGCTTTAGCCAGCGACACTGATAGACTGCTCAAACTACTGATGAGAAAAAGATATTTAGCTGTTTATATTTACTAAAATGATTGCATTTCCAGGGTCTGTGTATTGTGGGGGACCAGATATAGTGAATGCAGGGTCCTGGGTTTAGTAACATTTTAATAAGTGATTGAACTGACTGGCATATTCAAGGCTTTGGATATCTTTTTATATCCTTTTCCATCTTATAAAATTCCATTACCTTGTTACGCGGTTCTTTTGACAGTTCCTCTCTGCTCCCTATGGCTCAGTATCTAGCCTGCTCAATGCATCCATATGAGAGCTAACAAACTCCTTGACTATTTATACACAGACACTAATTGCAATTAAAAAAGCCTCAGATGTGGGAAATTAACCTTTTAATTGCAATTTTATCCTGTGTGTCACCTTGTGTGCCTGTAGCAGGGCCAAACATTACAGGGTATGTAAACTTTTGATCAGTGCCATTTGGGTGATTTCTGTTCTAATTTAAAAAGTATGTAGCACTATGTGATAATAAATGGCTTCAAATAATCACTATCCTTAAATAAGTTTTTGCCATGATCAGTCATGTATTCAATATTGATGCCGAAATGTCACAATTTCTGTCAGTGTATTCAAGCTTTTGAGCACAACTGTGTGTATATATAAGCTGATTTGTTTATTCATTATTACTTAGTTACCAGTGCTATATTGGAATCTACCATCACCGTATTAAATCTACTCACTGCCACTAGCAAGATAATTTGTCACTACAATTACACAGCAATGGTCAGGGCTCAATGTAAACATATATATGCTTTCCAAAAACCATCATGAATGTTACATCTCACATACTTAAAAACCGCCTCTATATCGATATGATGCCACTACCCTATTCTCTTAATATTCCGCT